AGCACTTTGGGAGGCAGAGGCAAGAGTATTGCCTGAGCCCACGGGTTCGAGACCAACCTGGGCAACTTGGTAAGACCTCGTCTCCACAATAACCCCCCCAAAAAAAACCCCCATAAAGTCTCACCAGATAGCACTAAGCATGAGTAACTTTTTAAGAAAATAGAAATGTTTACATATAAATGAAACAATTCAGAATTATAAGTCAAATAAGTCAATTATTAAACTACAAAAAGATGTTCAGTGATTCTGGAAGAGCATCATAGATATATGTTTCCATGGTCTCAAAAACCCAGTATGAAATGTCAATTGGAGATTTTAAGTAAAATTGTCTATTCGGCAACTAAGATTATACACACATAATAAATAGGATGTATGTATATAGGGAGGGCTTATAATATGTAGTTAAGAAAGTTTGACTAACCAAAAATTTTAAATAACAGTACTCACTAGTATTGGTTTTGTGAGAGTTCACATTCTGAACTGAATAAATATAGACATTTTTCAATGTCTCTGAAAACACAGTTCATTTGACAAAACATTTGGTTCACCAGTATGGCATCTTGATGTACTCAAATAACGCAGGACAGAATCTCATAGTGTTTCACAGTTTAGGTTGACAACAGCAAAGGACTTATTTTAGGAGGAAATAATTATTTAGGAATTGGCCTGGAAAACATATACAGTCTGTTTACTTTGCAAATTCATTAATGGAATGATTAGGAAATCAGGATTCTCCTTGGAAAGGAACTGAAAGCGTAAGGCTGAAGACACCTTAACCACATAGCTAAAACTACCATCACAAGTAATGATACAAATAGACATCATGAGCCTCCTTATGTGATGCACGAAGGATATATTCTTTCTTACTGCAATTCCTACCTGAAATGTATAATCTACATCTAATCATAAGAAAACATCAGACAAATCCAAACTGAGGGAGGGACATTCTACAAAAGAACTAGCCTTTACTCTTAAAAAATGCCAAGGACATGAATAACAAGTAAAGACCAAGGAACTGTTCCAGATTAAGGCAGGCTTAATAGTCTACATTCACCTAATAAGTTAAAGGAAAAATTGAATAAGAAGACTATTAGGGAATTGCTACCTACTCATTTCTTTTTAAACTGTTCAGAGCACAGTAGGGGGTGAGGCTCTGATGTTCTTTCAAAATTGTTTCTTTTTTCTTCTGGACATTCTTTTGTAGTTTAATAAATGACTTAATGGACTTACAATTCTGAATTCTTTCATTTATATTTTTAAATGGATCAAAGGACAACTAATCGACAACAAGGGGCCTTCAGAATATATAATGGGGAAAGTCTAGTGTCTTAAATATGCTGTGGGGAAAACTGGATATCCACATGCAAAATAATGAAATTTAGCCCCTATATCATACAAAATTAATTATAAACAGATTAAAGACTTAAATGTAAAACCTGAAATTATAAAACTCCTAGAAGAAAACACAGGGAAGAGACTCCTTGACACTGGTCTTAGTTATGATTTTTAGATATGATACCAAAAAGCACAGGAAGTAAAATAAAAAAGTCAAATGGGACAACTACATCAAATGGAAAATCTTCTGCACAGCCATGGAAACAATCAATAAAATGAAAACGAAACCTAAGGAAGGGGAAAAACTGTTTGCAAACCATAAGACTGATAAGGGTTTCACAGAAACTCATATAACACAATAGCAAAAAAATCAAATAATCCATTCAAAAAATGGGCTAAGGACCCAAACAGACATTCTTTCAAAGAAGACATATAGCCGGGCTCCGTGGCTCAGACTGTAATCCTGCGCCTTTGGGAGGCTGAGGTGAGTGGATTGCCTGAGCCTGCGGGATTGAGACCCGCTTGGGCAACTTGGCGAGACCTCATCTCTACAAAAAAAAAAAAAAAAAAAAAATTAGCTGGGCGTGGAAGCGCGCCCCTGTAGTTCCAGCTACTTGGAAGGCTGAGGCAGAAGGATCGCTGGAGCCCAGCAGGTCAAGGCTGC